AAATAATAATGATTGTTACTCCGTATTTCTTAAAAATAGAGTAATAAAATTACTACTCTGCAATTAACTTTTAATAATAATTAAGGAAATAATAGGAAATACATAATATTATCAATTTTGACCAAAAAAACAAAAGTAGACAAATACTCTAAAACAGAGGAGTAATTAATATGAAGTAATAATAATAACTAGTGGTCTTTTTTAAAAAAGTACAGAAGTAAAATTACTAATTAATTTCTTAAAATAAATAATAGTATTAATAATAAGTGTTATTTTATAATAAGTGCTATTTTTCTAAATAACAATTAGTGTTTTTATAGAAAAGAGTGGTAAAACTAACAATTAATTTTTAATAATAATAGTAATAATAATAAATCAAAAAATTAATAAAAATAATAGAATAAGAAAATAATAATTATGAAGTAATTAATTATAATAATTAAAAAAACAAATAATAATAATTATAATAGAAGAAGAGAAAAACAAAAGAAAAGGTAAAAGAAGAAAAAAAACGGGGTGGGGGGAATGGAGGTCACTGGAACTCTGGAAGGCAGGAGAAAGAAGAAGAAAAGAAGAAAAGAAGAAGAAGAAGAAGAAAAGAATGGGACCTGCCAGTCTTTATCCGAAAATAAGGGGTACCTGGCAGCAATTTTTTGAGAAGAGGAGGAGGAAGAGGATAACGGAGAAGAAATGTTAACGGAGAGAATGACGGATTGTCACCCCGGAGTCAGTTTTCAAATATCTTAAGGTACCTCGGAGTATATTTCTGAAAAACAATGGGACCTGCTAATCTTTATCCCAAAATTAGGGGTACCCAACAGCAATTTTTTTGTTGTATGACCACCATGGTTCTTTTGACTTGGGCTATGTTGACCTTAAAACAACCTAGGGTGTGCCTACGGTGTTGTGTTGGTAGAATTGATGGTTCGCATCACCCCACACCCCATAGCTTGTTGATTTGAGTTGGGTGAGGGCTTGAGGTGGATGGAGGTAGGAACCACCACATTACCAACAAAGCACCATAGATGCTCCAAAATGCCTCTCGGGATATTTTTTCATCCTTGTCGTAAGACGAGTATTAAATTAACACACAAAACTCACAAGTGGATGACTTTGCAATAGTAAGGCAAACATATCACCGTAATTATTGTGGGTAATTATATTAACATATTTTAGGTGGTTAAATATTTTGATAGTAGTAGGTCACTTGCCTATGATTTTCAAATTTTAACGTGATGGCATTTTGTCTAAAGAATAGTTGTTGCAAGGACTGAACTCTACCTAGCCATTCATTCTCTCCATTTTCATCTTCCAATGGTTAGTTACTCCATCCGTTTCGGTTTGCGTATTTCACAAAATGCTTCTTTTCTCATTTTAAATCTTTGCAAATATACACGCTATTTCTCTTTTACCGCGGGTAGTTATTTTGAGAATATTTTAAACATTTTAAGTGAGCACGAAGTGTTTTGTGAAACACGTATAAAATTAGAATGGAATTGTTTTTTTGAAAAAGAGGTAGTGATGTTTTTGTTTCTGACTAATAATTTTGTACTAAATTTTAATTTTTATCCTTTTCATAATTAGTCAGGTCAATCTCAAGTTTTATACTAAGAACTCATAGGTCCTAATTAATTTGCCTTTTCGACCAATGTTCTTTTGGTGACAATAATGGTCCAAAACCAACACGGCTCATCAATTGCCTTTTCGACCAATGTTCTTTTTGTTGCGTTTTCACAACTCCAAGTATTATTTTGGTGTTAGCTCATGCGGTGTGGAGCACGGCCATCCCGCCTCCACCACAGCACATTGTTCACGGGAAGAAGATCGCCATCACACGAAGAACGTATGGTTGCCGTCCATCGGTGGGGGAGGGGGGTATTCCCGTCAATTCCTCCTCCCACCTCGGCCACACGTCATCCATCCCGTTCCGTCCCCAAGTAATCATGGTTCACACCGCATGGTCGTAGCTTTGTTCATTTACGATGTCTGACTGAAGCTATTTTCAAATCAATATAAGTAAAAATTAGTGTAAAATTAAAAAAAATTACATCAAAAGTTCTACAAAATGAGTGGTGGTAAGATTATTTTATTATATCAAATTATCGATGAAAATGCATAGAAAAAGTGGAGTTAGTTTGACCTCTGACTCGTAACTAGTAGTCTTTTTTGGGACGGACGGAGTATTATATTTTGATGAAATGTATTTTTATTACTAGTGCTAATAAACTGCCTATAGGAGGGCGTGCATTACTTAATGTGATTGAATTATAAGTTTCCGCTCTTTAAGGGCATTTCTTTGATTTGTTCCATTTATCACATCCATTGTCCCATTGATGTATTGATTTAACATTGAAACAATCTTTATGTGCATTATACCTATTAGTATACTTTTCTTATTAAATTTCAATTTTTTTATTGTAAGAGACATTACCTTCAATTAAAAACTTTTCACTTTTCAATATTTTCTAAAACTCAATAAAGATAAATTACCTTCAAATTT